CTGTTGACTGACCTCTCGTGGAAATTGTCAGCCAGTTTTCCATCTACAGCAGGCAAACTACATTTGTGTGAGGTAGAACGATCCACTGCAACCATATTGGGCCCAGAAACAGTTATGTGGTTATGTGGGTACATATTGAAAAGGACGCAGTAATTTCCCTGAATATTCAAGCTATATTCTATGGTGTGTTATGTCATCGTTTACTGTGGTGATAGAACCTATACATGAAACAATTTTATTTGTCTGGAAAACAGGCTGCATTTGCAATATTAATCTGCCCTAGCGTGGGTACTTTATCAGTGTTATCCTGTAACTGCCGACATTATGTTATTCACTTTTCAACTGAAATAGTCATTAAATTGTTTTTGGAGTTTGCTGATGTGTTCCTGGGACCACAGTCACACTTCACGACATAGATATAGGTAACGAGTAATTGTTGGAGACGGCATTTGCTGTTATGTTAAACTTATATTAAAGTTTTTCTTCATTACCCATTCAAGTACAACGTTTCGACAAGGTTTTGTCATCATGATTTATAGATCTTAGTGTGTGTGCAAAGGAGTAATCGTATTTTATCTGAATGATTTGTATATACTAATGCAGTGACGTGTCACGACACCACGGGAAACATGTTGAGTACCTGTGTGTTTTGTTCATAGCGAATTCCCAATCACCCAGCCGTGCAAAGTCGTGATGGATAACCTTATGGCTGGATAATTTAGCCCTTTTCAAAGAAGTGTATTCGTATAGCGAGATTGTTAAATAATGTAAAGAAAACTTCAGTGTTCTCTATGGGAGCAGAAAATCTTACACGGTAGAATGTCTAGGACAACAACAGGGACCATAAACATATCTTAAGGCAATCCAGAGTAATGCTCTCATCCGCAAAGTGAAGGATATAGTTATGAAATATATATTCCAACCCCTTCCCCATAAAAACAAAGGAAAAATGGAAAAACAACAACATTGTCATACAACTAGTCACATCTCCTTGTAATTAGCAAGTTAGTAAACAGGGATTTGAATTCAATAAAAACTTACCATCTTCCACTAAACACATTAAAATCAATGTCTGTTTGCAAGAGAAAGATAAATAAAGAAGCTAGAAATTCAGTGATCCCATTCGACTACATGTTTGTCGAGTCTTTTAATACAGTCTAATGTAGTTTTTTGTTATTGGCCTTACTTAAACGTGATTTCGGAAGCCGACGTTTATGTACAATGGAGGTCTGTGGAAAGATTCTCAAGATGTGTGTAAAAGAACTTGTTACAAAGGAAACTGTAGTTTCGAGCAGTAATGCATAACCATATACAACATGATCAATGATAAAGGAAGTAGTTCCAAAAGCATCACGTGCCCTAGAACATAATTCTTATAAAGTGCAATTAACCTCAATATTGTAAATGCTTAACATTTAATGCATTTATTCACGAGAAATATATAAGTATTATTAGACTTAATGTACTGAAGTTGCAGTTTAGGCAATATTAATTCACCACTAGGTCGGTAAGTAGCGAAAGCTGAATGAATTATTTTTTCACTAGTACAGAAAGCCTGTCTTACTCTGAGCTGGCTCAGTTGATTTTCCCAGCATATTAGCACCTGCAACCTAATGTCTCTTCTTCGAGTTAAAAAGTAGAAAACTATTTGGAGCTGGACAAAACATCAAGGGCAGTCACTGGTAGAGAACATCTGTGACTAAAGTTATTTCCACATAATCCCCAATATCCAGCTTCAGTGTCATGATTTATTCATTCTAACCTGTTAGGTCATTAGAAAAAAAAAAGTTGTGTTTTTGGCTGGTCATAAAAAGTTCATCGTCAGGTGCGAAAACTCACACAAAATTCACATTTCATCGTAAAACCCTTACCCAAGATGTAGTTATATTTCATTTTTCACATCCATATGTCATATTACACACAGAAAGTCTACAGTAAGGTTGATCTTCAAATTTCTATTGTCTGGAGCTTTATAATGATATGCAGATTGCATCAGACCAATGTTCTCTTTTAACTGGGTGAAACAATTGTTCACCCTTGGAGATGCTTTGTATTTTGATAATAATGGTAGTAGGTCGTTTTCTTGTCAACTCATTGATATATTGCTCAGTATGGTTGCTGGATTAGTTCCTTCTATTAGTTAGGACTTCGTCACATTAAAAGATGAGTCAAAATTAACTGTCTTAATGATTCTGACATTTTGGACAAATTTATGAGCTATTTATAAGCAATTTTGTCGGACTCCTGCTCCATAACAAGTGAAAGCTTCTTTCAATGAAGTACACTGACTGTGATTTAGTCAGGTACATGTATATTAATCCTCAATGATATTGATATACTGATCAGGTACAGATACATTCATTGTTTCTTCGAGTTCCGTGAACAAGACAAATAATCCTTGACTATATTATTGTAGTTGCGTATTTAGTGTCGATATTCCATGTTTTTTTTTTTTCACTTAAACAGCAGGATTACTAGCTTATTCTATATCACGTAATTCATTCACTTGAGAAATAATTGCAAACTAAGTTTCATACTTTCTATCCGCAGGGCATTTTATCCCATAATGCCGCACTACAAGATCCTATGATATTGTGCATGCGTACTGGAACTTGAAAGCATCATGCGCGTGTTTATGTGGAAGTACTCAGTTCACGGCTTATTTGCTTTGAATAGATTTTTTATTCTATTCCATAATGCTAAACACAAAAGATCATACGCCCACTCTTTAATTCTCCCTCCTGACTTGACTATTATTGTTTCCACATGTGTCTCCTTGGTTAAAGAATGATGCTTCCAGTGCGCATGCGCAATCTTGTATAATCTTTAGTGCTTAGCATTATGGAATAGAATCACAATCAAACTTAACTTTGCAGGTAAGGTTCGTTTAATTTTTGAATTATGTTTAAGGGCCAGAATCATAGAAAAAAATGTGAGGAATATGTTCATATGGTATACAAAATGTCATGAGGCATTCTCGTGTGCGATCTGTGTAACTCTTATAACTTTTAACCGTAATTATAATTGTTTGACTAAAGTACTCACTGAAGTTTTAAGCCCCAGGTAGTGCTTGATCGAAATCCTCGTTGTTTGGCTCCCACGCCTACTAACCAATAAATTCTGCAAATTGTTCAAGTTGGCTGTCAGATTATTTATCTATAGCTTCTTACAGTAGAGTTATCTGATTTTAACCTAGAGTTGGAATTCAAATAGTCATGCCCACTTTTACGGTAAACTTTGTTATTTACATCTCTCTGTTTTATGTCAGATAAGTCATCAACTTATCTTTGTGTTCAAAACACATTTGTATTTGTTGTCTCTTGACAGCAAATATTCATTCATTATTTTGCCAGGCGGTGTATTTTGTTTTATCCGCTATCATGCCCCAAGTTGAACA